TCTGATTCGGTTTATTTGCCCAGTCCTAATATTATGTATACAGATTTGGAAGTCTATCAAAATTAATTTATTTAAAAGACATAAGTTTCTTATTATAGCTAACAAATATATGTATATAAATATATAAAATAGAATAACATAGCAAAATATTAAAAAATAATTAATAGAGTGTATTACACTATTATATTCACTATAACTTATAAGAAATACAGAATATAATCTAAAATGATATTTCCCTAATTACAATACTGTTTGCTTTAATATCAGGAGTGATTGGTAGGGATGTAGGAAGTGTATTTAGTTTCAATTTTTATATATAATCATAAAAAATACAAGTTATGTTTTATTTAATTTGTAAAACTATAACCAAGAAAATTAAAAAAAAAAATATGTAAGAAGCCTATTTTCTAATTATTTAGTAAGTTGTCAAAAAAATGTTGTTGTAGGACTATATTTCTATTTTCTTTTTCTTTTTCTAATTTAAAATTTACAGCTACATCAAATTCATTTATATCAAAAAAGAATATACGAATTAAATTCTATAACATAATTTCTACACTTACCACTCATTTAATCATCCTCATTATTGACATCCATTTTGACCTTTAAAGTGCATAAAACAAGTAATAAATGGACGTTTAGCAAACAACAATACACATCTTAACTAATAAAGTTGTCTTTTTCTCTCAATAAGGAGGATAAAATACACGTGGCAGGTTAAGAATTTTGTGTTTACGTTTGATTTCTTGTTTTGGTGTGCTGAGCCTTTTTTGTCTCTTTTAAGAATTGTGAATAGTTCGAATTTGGGCTTTGACATGATGTTTTGTTCAGGCCCATTGAAGTATAGGGTTTCATCTGAATTCGACATTCATCTCAGTAGTCGACTGATATAAAACTGCCGATCAACTCAACATAAAGTCTCCCATTTACATTAAACCAATCTCATCATCTCTCGAAGCTTTTGATTACCCCAGTCTTTCCACTCTCAATCATTCAACCAATCTCATCATCTCTCTAAGTAACAGATGAAAGCTCCAACTATAAATTTCCAATTTCCAATCTGAACAGCAAAAACCTCAACCAAATATAGAAGTCGAGAAGCTGCGAGCGAGGGACTGTTGCTTGACGGAGGTATATATCAAGAAGCGTAATATCTTTGCAAGTAAATTTTCAGTTTTAGATTTGGAATCATAATAGTTTTATTTACTTCACTTAAAAATGGACCTATAAGAAAGATTGTATACAAGGTAAACCATAATTGAAATTAAACAAGAAACTAATGTTTACTACAAAACAATCGATCATATATCTGATAATGACAGGTTTGCCTAATATATTATGGTATATAGAAATAAACTCATCAAGAGAATGGACCTACTAGACTGCACGAGAAAAGTGAAAAAAAATAAGAAGATCAAGAACATAATTACCAGACATGGTTATGACAATGATCATGATGTGTATAAGAACTGCACGGTGAACCAGGTTTGCCCCTTTAAATCCATAAGCGTTGTGTTTTCTGACATGGTTTCTCTGTGGCACAGTGTGTACTCACAGGGTGTAACATGTCAACCTTAGTCATTGCTTCCCCCCAGAGAAGCTAATGTTCCAGCACGATTGGAGATCGTTTCACCAGGGAAAAAAATTATCTGGTCATGTCTTCATATTATAGCAAACCTGTTGAAACTGAGCCATTAGGAGAACCCTTTTATGGACAAGAGGCTGCGTCATATGTGACAGATATTTTGGAGAGGGATGAGAGAAGAGACCTGAAGACATCAATGATCGTCTCTGTTACACTGCAATTGGTGACGCGAGGTTTTTGAGAGACATCACTTCTTTGAGGGCTTCACAGATCGTTCTTGAGATACGCTTCTTCACTAATAGATTCTTGAGATTATAGTCGAAGAGATAATTGTCTAGATTCAGAGTCTACAAACGGGTGAGACAGCTGACATTAAGAATCACACTAGAAATCTGATCTCAAAGAACTCGAGAACAGTCAAACCGTAGAGGTTGTGAAGATTCCACGAATCCCTTTTGTTTTAGGCCGGTTGCTTCCATTGCATTCAACAATTTTCCATTTACAAGGGTTAGGGTTACACCAGTCGATGTCTTTTGGCAAATTCAAACTTGATTTGAGAGTTTGCATAGTCGGATTATCGACGCTATCATGCTGAAAACAAAATCCAAAAATGAAAGGAAGAAACAGAAGATACGTAGACGAGATTTCATGATTTGCTTGGGTTTTTTTTACCTTTCAAATTTCAACGAATATAATTTGATAAAGAAGTAGTACTGTACTGAGTCATATACTGTACATGGTTCTCAGTTGTCTCTAAAATTAACATTGTTATAACAAACACACCAACCACAAATTATAAACTTACTTTTTAATTACACGTTGATCAAACACTCCTACTGAGAAATGGTACTGGGGTTCAAAATGTAACACTGTGAATAAAATTAATTGAAAATTACATCTAAAGTATTAATAAAACTTATAAGACCAATAATTCACAGTGTTAAAAAGATAAATTAACACAATATAGTTTTTAAGTCATATCCACGGAAATACACCCAATAACAATGATTCTACAATAAATGTAGCTAACAAATGTTCAATGGATGATTACGATGTAACATATGTTTACCATAATTATTCAAGAACCACAATTGTATTAATTATCAAAATGTCATGCAAACATGTGTAATGCGTGGAAGCTTAGTTTATACTTTTTTAAAAAACTATTAAGTATATAGACTCAGTAAAATAGTATTACTGTAGTTATAAACGATTATATTACAAAATTAAATATATGATTAATTAAAAAAATTATAAGAAAATTTGAACAAAACAAAAATATAAAATAATATAAATTTGAACTACCATGCACTAGATTTTATAAATTTTTGTTCAGTAAATTAGAGAAAAAATATTACTCGCTTCAACATCAAAAACAATTTTTATTAAAACATACTATAATAGAAAGACAATTTTAAACACACCAGTTTGTTAAAAAGTAGTTCATCAAATCAGTAACCAAGTTATCCCATCAAAACATCTTATAGTTTTTGATAAAAATATCATGTAAATTAAGTAAAATTTAAACACAATTAAAAAGCAGAAAACATATAATATCTATTTTTAATATTATTAACGTTCACATTCCAATAATTTAAACTTCATGTTATAATTTTTATTTTGTAAATATATATATATATATATATTTATTTATTTGACATTCACAACTTTTAGAATTAATTGAGATTTTTATTAGGAGACGGCCTTTCATTTTATTTATTAAGAGACACAATCTTTTATTTTTTTATTTTTAAAATGACACAATTTTTCATTTTATTTTGGATTAAAACCTATCACATTAATTGACATTTTTATTAAAAGTCACAATTTTGTTTTACTTGACATTCATAACTTTTGAAATTAATCAGGATTGTTATTATTAGTAGATAGATTAAATTAAATTAAAATTTATATAACAAAACCCGGGCGTGCACCGTAAGTGGTTTTCTCCTTATGTGAGTGCTTAAAATAAATTAAAATATTATTTATACTAATTCACATATATTGAATGACATAATTTCTATTAATAGGTGTCTGCTGGTATGGTGAGAGGTGAAACATTTGACGATTGGATACGCGAGATGGTGTGTGGACCAAAGTATGTTGTGAAGTCATATCCAAGATTTTGTACTCAAGGATATGCATTCACAACTCAAAAGAGGAGACGTTCAAGTACGACTTATGATGCTGGCGTTTGTTCTGCATCAGGAGATGATGTATACTACGGAAACATACTGGAGATTTTGGAAATCATGTATCCGGGCATGGTTGGATTGCGATGTACTGTTTTTTATTGTGATTGGTACGACAACACCCCGGATCGAGGTGTGAGAACAGATGCATTTGGTGTCACATCAGTACATTCGAGGCGAAAGCTGCAATATTATGATCCTTTCATTCTTGCTTCTCAGGCCGATCATGTAATGAAATATATATATGTCAATATATATATTGGAGTTACAAATTTACAAATAATTTTTAAATGTTAATTTACAGATTTGTTACATCAAGTACCCCCGGGTTAGGAATAGAGATGATCCATGGGTCACTGTTACATCACTCAACCCGAGAGGTCGAGTTCAAGGAATTTCTGAGCCGGAAGACCCACTACAAACAAACACATCGGGCAACTTAAGTGCAGCAGAAGATGTAGCTGCAGTTGACCTTGTCGTCGATTTTACCGACTTTGGAGAGGAAGCCATCGTTCACGTAGAGGATGAACCAGAGATTGGAGAGTTTCACCAAGATCCAGATTCATCTGGTGATGATGATGACTTTGAAACAGGGTAGTATCGGAAATCCTTTTTTTAACACTATTCCGAGGAAATACTGAGGAAGAACATTTATCCCTCGGAATTTCCACGGAATATACTGAGGAAATACCGAGAAAAACATCATGTCCTCGGTATTTCCTCAGTATATTCTGAGGAAATTCCGAGGAATAAATATATTTGCTCCTAAAATATAGTTTTCTGTTTAGAAATTGAACATGTAACTTGAATTATCCTTATACTGTTTTAGATTGATTATAAAGTAAAAAACTTGTATGTTTTGAAGTAATAAACTTTCTTCCAATTTAGTAAACGAAATTCCTTAACAACTAGATAAACACTTATACACTTTAACTTAGTACTCAGAACTCTCTTCCATTGCTTTTGTAATCTTTTAAAACTCCTTGTCTATATATTTGATATGGCACTAAGCCGGAACATGAATCAGAAACAACAACAAAAAAGGCTAAAAACTCAGGCCATAATTAGACATGTTTCATTCTCAGAGTAACTGTACAACTTGTTCCTTCTATCTTTATAAACTTTCTACATTTTAAATCTGTATATATTTACCAAAGAGTACCTTTGCAAAAACTATCTTTTTATGTATCAACTAAGAACCTGATTTTGGTTATCCTTTCATTCTATCGCTGGAGCAACTGTAAAACCATCTGTGCATTTTTCACTAGACTCTCTGATGATCCTTCCTTCGTGAGCATTGTAAACGTCGCATGTTTATTCTCCTCTTCATTGACTACTCTCAGTCTACCGAGATGCGTGGCCAGGTTGCACATGTTAATGACGATCACTACAGCGTTCTCGCAAGACCTTAAGCAACTCCTTTTCCTCAAGATACCGAATAGATGGTTCATGAACTTTGGACTCTTCTCCATTTCTTTCACACCTGGCTCGTACGTAGTAAGTAACACCAAGACACTTAAGAACTCAGCCGCATATCTTCCTGCTTCGATCTTCCCCATTAGCGCCGGAACCACACCCTCAGCGACCGCCATTTCTCTGAGCCCAAATTCTTGACAGAGCTGATAAACTACGGAATTGGCTACCAAGGAGGCTACCATTTCACCCTCGCCAATAACCTCTCCCAAAGCCCTAAGTGTTGCGCTGTACGCGATGCTAAACTTATTAGAAGCAATAGCTAAGAGTGAGAGTAAAGTCGATGCAAAGTTTCTTCATGTCTCTATTTTCCCACTTGTCAGAGCCGTTGTAAGCACATCGGCCACCTCATAGTCTTTGGCAATTGCTTCTTTATTCGCCACAGCAATGGAGATGTTGAGCAATGCTGTGATGATATTCTATTGAAGCTCCAGTCTCATGCCAGCCCAGACGCCCAATTCAGTAAGGGGACTGATCAACGTGGTGATTCCTCCAGGGTGTAGAGTGAGAAAGCGATCTCGGACATTGGGAAACTTGTTGGTCTGGCAGCGTAACTCCTTTGCAGCTTGAACCTGATCTTCATATGATGAGGGAGAAGAGATCCTCTGAAGCAACGACTCTATTCCATCTCTTGACAGCTCAGTGACTACTTCATCAGCTGGTTTTAGCCTATCATATCCGTTGGCAAGACACCACTTGGTAATCAACTCATCGAGCAAATGGTTGGGTGTACACAGAGAGTGAGAGAGGACTTCGTTGCTTTTGGGACATGTAGGTGCATCCTTCAGCGACTCTGTGAAAAAGCTTTTCTCATAGGTCTGAAACAAAAGAGCAAAAACACCATAAATCTTATGTCTTTCAATATAAACTTCTTAAAAAAACCTCCACTTGTATCTGTCTATTCTACTCTTCTATAAGCTCCATGTATACAAGCAGAGATTCTAAAAGACGTACAATCATTGAGGTTCTTGGCAATGTCAAACATAGCTCTGCATACACGCATCAACACCATTCATACTAATATATCACAAGCTACAATCCCAGATTAGCAAAATCGAGCAAGAAATCTTGTGTCTTTGAATATATCTACTCCTCTAGAATCTCTCAGCATATAATCATTGATTCAATACACATACAAACATAAAACAATGATAATGTATGCAGAGAGCTACATTCTGTTACAGGTTCTTGGCAATGTCAACCCTAACTCTGTTTTTACTTGGATGATAATGTATAAACGCATAAACAACATTCCAACGAATATATCATAAGCTACAGTCTCAGATTAACAAAATCAAACAAGAATCCCAAAATAAATTACTAAAGAGAAGGAAGAAAATCATACATTCCCAGAAGCGATGACAACAGGCTCGATCATGATCTTGTTCGAGAGTATGCATTTGAACTCTTTCGACACTTCCACCTTCAGCGACTGAGAAGACGAAGAAGAAGAAGAAGGGATATCAGATTCAGGCTTCTTCTATTCGATTTCTCTCAGGCGATTCAAGATTCTGATCGCATCGTCAATTGCTTTCAAGACTCCGTCACTCTCACCGCCATCTTCGCTCACTCCTCCGTTGGACAGAATCTCAGTCAGCAGCTTCTTTAGCTCCCGCTTCAGAGTATTGGCGGTTGCTGCGGTTGATTCCGCCATTGATTCTTCCATTGATCGCGCGAATACACAAAACCCTAGAAATTCGAGAATTGGGGGAAAAAAATATGAGAGCGGGAAAGTTCGGTTATCTGTAGAGAGAGAAGCTAAGAAACGATCTATTTATCAGTTATTTATGAAATGCCACGTCATGCCTGCATTCGCTTCTGATTGGTTAACAAAAAAAAATAGATATTCCGATCTTTTTTTGATGACGTACGCCACCTGTGTATTAGACTGCCACGTCATTCCCGTAGTCGCTTCTGATGGGTTAAGAAAGAATTAGATTTCCCGATCATTTGTTATCCTTATCAAAAACTAAAGTTTTCCAAATATGTAAGCATACTGTGGTCAATCTTTTAAGTTTTTATTTCATTTTTGTATGTTACTGTGTTCCTAAATTAGATCGTTAATGCGTTAGTGATTTACAACACTCTATCAGTGTTCTTTTGGTTGAACCTTAGACTACAAAATTACTAACGGAATGGTATTCCTACAGTTTTTATGAGATTGCATGATATAACATATGAAATTATTGATCATATTAGCACACAAATTACTGATCCAATAGACACCAAACAACATACGCTGACTGTGATCACCATGTCAATGATAAAGTCGACACTTATATAAAACTTCATTTTATGTATAAAACATTCAGTATACGACTGCCTAAAATGGTTTATGTAACAATAACGCACAACTCTATAGATAAAAAGAGGTGGGAGCGGTCAAAGTGTCTGCCGTTGCGTGAGTGGGACAATGCACAGGATAGCACTTTGATGAATACAAGAGAGAACCACATTACTTGGGACTTACGGAATCCTCTGGGATGATTTTAACTAGCCGGACTATGAATCAGAAACATCACACGTCTTTAACAGTAGCAAAACTCAGTTTTTTCCTTAGGCACCATGTCTCTGGTAAAGTCCAATACTTACAAGCTTGATGCTATATAATGGAAGACAAAAGTTTTAAAAAGTTACACCACCGTCTTATAAAATAAATAAATTGTGTATTATCATTTGCTCTTCACTACTGGCACTGTATTAACTATTAAAACTTAAATTTGATTTATAAATAAGACTCTCCAGTCTCCACGTGATCCACACCTCGCCTGTTATTCACCGTATTAAAACTTAATTTGATTTGCAAATAAGACTCTCCAGTCTCCACGTGATCCACCTCGCCATCTCCAGTACATATATAGTTTTCCTTTTTTAACTAAATAAACCATTGGTTATACTTATATCTAGCGAAAAATAGAGAAACTTGAGTTAATCACACAAAAATGACCAGTTCCTTTCCGATTTTATATTTTCATTATTGCTGAATTCTTGCGGTTATATTTACCAGAATTATATTGTGTAAATGATATGATTTTATTTTTTTGTAAACTAAGTAAAATATATGTTCAATAACTATTTACACGTTGAAAATTTGAAAACATAATGATGGAGTATTGATTTTACGAAATTTCAGTTCCACATTAATGATAGACTACTACATATAGTTTCATTTTTTATGTATCAAAAAGGAAAGGGAACTATTTTTTTTTTCCATGTTTTGAGGAACGTTGGAGAGATCATAGTTAATGATCACATGGTTTCTTTTTCACCAATTTTAGATTCACTTTCCATTTTGAGCACAACAATAGCATCAAAAGAGCGAGCAGCAAAAACAAAAAGGTAAATAGCCAACTTCTCCAAGGCACGCGGCATCAAAATAGTTGATCGCTAGGCAACTCTTCTTGCAATCGTCAATGGCGACACAAGGACCGGTTATGAAGTAAGGGTTAGCGAGGTCACACTCCCCCTTCACTTCTAACCTATCCATACAAAACACACACACAATTTGTAAATATGTCTGTACGTAATTAATTAGGTTTTGAGATAACAGTTTGATTTTATTACATTACCTGGAGCAGATAAGAGGAGGATAGAGAGACAAACAACTACATCAGCAACAACAACTCTGCTCAACCTTAAGCTCCTCATTGCTCTTCTCTTTTTTTTTTCTTTATGGCTATTACAACCAAAAAGAGCTTCAATTTATAGCTCTGAAGGTTAGAGGAGTGGGCAAAACAGGAAACAGATCTCGAGAACTCAAGGATTAATTACCTACTTTATTTTATCATTTGCTCTACACTACTGGCACCGTATTAAAACTTATACTATTTGATTTGTAAATATGACTCTCCAGTCTCTACGTGATCCACCTCGCCATCTCCAATACATATATAATTTTTTTTACACAATCTCAGACAAATTTACTTCCACATTAATGATAGACTACATTGTTTTTCTTAATAAAGAAAAGGAGAGGGAACTAATTAAACATGAGGTGGTTCCATGTTTTGAGGATAGTTGGAGAGATCATAATTAATGATCACATGGTTCTCCTCTGAAACTTGGACACACTTATAGTAACAGTGAAAAAGCGAATGGCTATATCGGGATCGCATATGCTCTTCACCTTCCATCTTTCATATCAAGCAAGCTTTTTCGTGCAGTAGACGCTAGAAAACACAACTACAATAATTTATTTTTCCGAGTAGTAATTTATTTTCCATAAATCTTAATTATCAAGAGAAAACTATAACCAAAAGTTTAACAACTCAAGAAAACCACTTCTTATCCTAATAATAATCTCTCATCAGCTTCTTCCGATTGTTGACATGATTGTCTCAAATTGCATACATCCAAAAATAAGTTTAAGACCGCCTAAAATTGTTTAATAACACGCATAACTCTACAGATTAAAAAAAAAATGAGGTGAGATCGGTCAAAGTGTTTGCCGTTTCATGATTGAGAGAGTGCACAGCTTAGCATTTGGAAAAATACAATAGAGAACCAAATGACTTGGGACTTACGCAATCCTCTCGGATGATTTCACTAGCCAGAATATGAATCAGAAACTTCAACTAAGAGTAGCAAAACTCAAACCCTCTTTAGGCAACTAAACGTTCTCAGACTCAAAAAAAAAACTATACAACTCTTGTCTCTTTCTAGACTTTCTACATGCATCAAAAAGACTCTCAGTTTCCAGAACTATTTTTTATTTATTTATCTACAAGACCCGAGTGTGGTGATTCCCTTCATCTCCCTTTATGTCTCTTCTTCACCAGTACCGGATCTCTTGATCCACTGCAAAATCGCCTCTGCTTCTGTCACTGCACGTTGTGATCCTTTCTCTGCAATCATCGTGAATATCGAGTATTTATCCTCCTCTTCCTTGATCAGCTTCAGCCTAGTCCTCTCCCTGTCTTTGTCACCCGTGTTCAGACCGCACATGCGTAGTAGGATCGATACAACGTTCTCGCCAATCCCTTGGACCTTCGTATTCCTCAAGAAACTGAACAGATCATCCACAAACCCTAGATCCTCAATTTCTTCAATCACCCCTTTTTGTGTAGTCATAAGCGACAAGACAGCAAAGTAGATATACACAATGCTTCGTTCTTTAATCCTGTTGATCAGCGCCGGAACCAAACCTTCTGCAACCACTTGGTCCCTCTTCTCCGGTATGAAACAGACGTTGAAAACAGCATAAGAGGCGTTTATGGCGGCGGAGAAATCATCCTCTTTGATGACATGAACCAAAGCCTTGAGTGTCTCTGAGTTCCCAATGATGCTCTTGTTGGAATCAAGTTTTGAAAGTTCCCATAAAGCCTCTGCGGCGTTTCTTCTTGTCTTATCGATCCCCTGCTTCAGAGACTTTGTAAGGAGTGGGATCACAAGAGGATGCTGAGCAACTTCTGTTTTGTTCTCCTCAAGACTCGAGATGTAGAGCAAGGCAGTGATGATATCTTTCTGAAGGCCCGGGTTAGAGTCAATATCGTCGCCTAAAGCAGAGAGTGGAGTGAGCAACCGAGTGATGGATTCAGGGATCTCAGTTACAAAGAAGGCCGGGACATTGTCAAATCTCTTCGTCTGACGACGCAGCTCGTTTGCAGCTGCTGTCTGATCTTCAGCTGAGGAGGGAGAAGAGATCCGTTCAAGCAATAGGTCTATGTCATCACTGAACATCCCAATGCGTGCTTCAGATGGTTTTGGCAGATCGTACTTGTTGACTTGACACCACTGCGTAATCAACTCAGAGATCACATGGTTGGGTGACGACAAAAAGTGAGAGAGGACTTCTTTAGTCTTGGGACATGTCTGTTTATAATTCAGCCACTGTTGGATGTATCTCTTTTCATAGGTCTGTTCAAAAAAAATGAAAGTGGAATCAGCACCAAACATCAAACATCATTTGTATATGAGCACACATTTGGATACTTATATGTATCTATCTACACCTATGACATATCTCTGTATATGATCACACCTTACCACACGTACAAAATTCATTGAGTTTCTTAGCAATGTCAAGCATAAATCTGTTTCTTTACGGATGATACAAAACTTTCCCTTTAAAGAAGGTATACATATACACAAATAGCACTCATAACAGTTGAATACATGAAAAGTTATATGCTTTGTTCATATAAAGAAGGTTACATGTACATATACCACAAAATAGCACACGTTTGTATCTATATCCTGTGATAACATATTCCATACGCATACAAAACATTAAACATACACAATCATTACGTTTCTTGGCGATTTCAAGCGTTACGTTGTAATATTCTGAACCTTTGTTTAGAGAATAAGCAATTAAGCACTCATCGAAACTGAATATACCGAAATTTATATACTTCTTGATAAAAAGATTAGCAAAAAGAAATAGAGCAAGAATCGCAAAGAAAGGGAAATAGTAAACCTGGCCAGATGAAATGACTACAGGTTCGCTCATGATCGCACGCGAGAGCATACACTTGAACTCTTTCGGTACTTGGAGCACAGAAGCCGCCGGAGAAGACGTAGAAGAGTCCGGAATCTTCGATTCAACTCCCCTCAGAGAATTTAGGATCCGAATCGCCTCATCACGTTTCAGAGTCGAGCGTCTTTCGTCAGTTTCGCCGCGATCTTCGCTTACACCTCCTCCGTCGTCGAGAATCTCCGTCATCGTCTTCTTTAACTCCAGCCTCAGAGTATCGGCGTTTTCCGCCGTAGATTCCGTCGCCGATTTCTCCATTGAAATCGCGAAACTACAAAACCCTAGAAACTCGAGAGAATTGGGGGAAAATGAAGAAGGCGGGAAGTTTCTGTTAGGGATGGAGAGAAGCGAAGCAACGATCTATTTTATCCGTTAGCTTTTCAGTTTTGAGTTTTTTTTTTTTGCCTCCTTTTTAATCACGTTTCCACTGCCACGTCACAACTAAGAACGTCGGTTTGTGGTAAGTTACATAACGCCACCTGTCATTTTGTGATACGTTTAATACGTAGCCACGTCACGCCCGCGTACTTTTCTTTTCGTAATCAGATTACATCCAGTCTCTTGATTGGTTAAGCAAACAATTTAGATTCTGCGATAACTAATTTAATCTTTATTATACTACTAGGGATGTGTCCGCGCGAAGTAGTGTATTGTTAACCATTTGTGTTGTGTTGTGTGGAAATGTTAATTCCTTGATTTCTTTGTGAAGCTTTTTATTTGAGACTAATTTATCTACTAAGTTGCATCTTTTGTGATGTGTTGACACCATTAACAATTTCAGGGGGTAGCTTTTATGGTATATTTTGTTTTTTTTATCGGTTGATGTTTTTTTCCTGATCATTACAATGGCTCTTTGAAGCCTTAATTTTTAAGCACAATGCTAATTGATACTTTTTCTATCTTATGTATCATTGTATTGTATGATATTGATATCGGTAAATTCTTGATCCAACAAACCTCTTTATTTAGATTGAAATTTAGTGTTTAAGAAAATATTTTTGATGAAATGTTGTATGCCTTTTTTTTTAACTTAGTGAACCTATAAGAGTTGTATGGCTTTATTTATAGCTTTATTTATGTGTTTTAGTAAGGTTAGGGTTAATTTTGTTGTGAGTGGACTAATGTATTAGGATTAAAATTAATTTGGATTTAGTTAGTAATTAATTTATTGTAATGGTGATTACCCAATCGATTGAGGTATGTGTTTTTTGCGGATAATTAATTTATTGATGTATTTTTTAGGTGCGAGCCTTTGACTACTATGGTTTTTGCTTGTGGGTTGTAGAGATTTATTTTCTGTATGATGTATACTATCTTGATAACATCTTTCAAAATTTTAATGAAGGATGCTGAGTAATTATGCATATTTTGATAAGAAGACAAAACGTAGAGATGATGAGAAAAATCGATCTCAGCATTCTTCTTAATTGATGTTCATCAATTTTCTTTAAACTGCATATTCTTCACTACATACCAATATTTTGAATGAAAATTATGTTGCTCTAACTGTAGTTAATATGTATGATGAGAAAACCACTTACGGTGCACGCTTTTCTCTGACTTTGCGTGGATTCTCATGGATTTTTTTTTGTAAATGATAAAATTTTTTTTCCCGGCTGTTTCTTTGTTTCTTTCCATTGTAATCGTTAGTCAATGGTGATGAGGCTGATTTCGAAGAACAGCTTAATTTACAGACACAACCTTTGTCTCAGGCGTAATAACTTCACCCTTGCTCTCTCTAACTACGTTCTCAATTCACCGACAACAACAAGAACACAAAACTTTCCTGAGACGACGAAAAGCACATCTATCTTCCGATGCAATTCTAAGATCTCAAAGCTCGCGAGAAACGGCAATCTCCAAGAAGCTGAAGCAATCTTCAGAAACATGCCTCATAGAAGCATAGTCTCATGGAACGCGATGATCTCTGCCTACGCGGAGAATGGCAAAATGAGTAAAGAACGCCAAGTGTTCGACGAAATGCCTGTGAGAGCCACAACTTCTTATAACGCGATGATTACGGCTATGGTTAAAAACAAGTGTGATATGTTAAAGGCTTACGAATTGTTTCGTGACATTCCTGAGAAGAACGCGGTCTCTTACGCGACGATGATTACTGGTTTTGTTAAGGCGGGGATGTTTGATGAGGCGGAGTGTTTGTATGGTGAGACACCCGTTGAGTTTCGTGATCCCGTTGCTTCTAACGTTTTGTTGAGTGGGTATTTGAGGGGAGGGAGATGGGAGGAGGCTGTACGTGTGTTTGAAGGTATGGTGGTGAAGGAAGTGGTGTCTTGTAGCTCGATGATTGATGTGTTTTGCAAAATGGGGAAGCTTGTTGATGCTAGAAGACTCTTTGATGAGATGTCTGAGAGAAATGTGGTTACTTGGACTGCTATGATTGATGGTTATTTTAAAGGTGGGTTTTTCGAAGATGGGTTTGCTCTGTTTCTTAGAATGAGAAGAGAGGAGATGTTAGTGTTAATGGTAACACTTTGGCTGTCATGTTTAAAGCTTGTAGAGAGTTCGACAAATACAGAGAGGGGATTCAGATTCATGGGTTGGTTTCACGGATGTCTCTTGAGTTTGATCTGTTTTTAGGGAATTCCATGATCTCGATGTACTCTAAGCTTGGATTTATGGGGGAGGCCAAAGCAGTGTTTGGTGTGATGAGAAGCAAAGACTCTGTTTCTTGGAACTCGTTGATCACGGGTCTTGTCCAGTGGGGACAAGTTTCTGAAGCTTATGATCTTTTCGAGAAGATGCCGAGTAAAGACATTGTATCTTGGACTGATATGATCAAAGGGTTTTCCGGAAAAAGAGAGATCTCCAAATGTGTAGAGCTGTTTAGGATGATGCCTGAGAAGGACGACGTAACATGGACTTCTATGATATCTGCTTTTGTGAGCAACAGATGTTACGAAGAAGCGGTTTCCTGGTTTCGTAATATCGTCTGAGGAAAGGTTTCTCCAAACTCCTACACTTTCAGTAGTGTCCTCAGTGCAGCAGCTAGTTTAGCAGCATTGGTTGAAGGACTACGGATCCATGCTAGAGTAGTGAAGATGAACATGGGGTGTGACTTGTCAGTTCAAAACTCTTTGGTGTCTATGTATTCAAAAACCGGAAACGCTAAGGATGCTTACAAGATCTTCTCACGCATCAGTGATCCCAATATTGTTTCTTACAACACGATGATCAGCGGGTTTTCTTACAACGGTTTAGGAAAGGAAGCTGTTAAACTGTTTCCAGTATTGGAAACTACAGGAAAAGAGGCAAACAATGTTACCTTTCTTGCTTTGTTATCAGCTTGTGCTCACGTTGGATACGTTGACTTAGGATGGAAATACTTCAGAACGATGAAATCTTCGTACGGTATTGAACCAGGACCTGATCATTACGCATGTATGGTTGATCTTCTTGGAAGAAGTGGCATGCTTGATGAAGCATATCACTTGATCTCTTCTTCAATGCCTTTTGAGCCTCACTCTGGTGTTTGGGGTAGCCTTCTTGGGGCGAGCAAGACTTGTCTACGTGTGGATCTTGCAGAGCTTGCTGCTAAGAAATTAACTGAGCTTGAGTCGGATAGTGCAACACCTTATGTTGTATTGTCTCAGCTATATGCATCAGATGAGAATCCTGTGGACATTTCCTCGTAAGTCTGTAGTAAGTCAATTACCTCGTAAAGTCCTAGTAAAGTATTACTACGAAATTAAGAGGAACATATTTGTTACTACGGAATTATGAGGAACTGGATAGGAAATATTGAATTTAAATCAAAACGTGTTGTGTAGCTACATTTCCTAGCAATTTCCTAGTAAATGCTCAGATTCGAAAATTTCTATAAATACCACAATTGTGATTCATTTGAAACACACAAAAAAATAATCAGCCATAAGCTTGATCAAACACAAAAAAATGTCTGGTCTGGGAAATATTTTTGAGTTGCAGAAGTGGATGTATTCACACAGAGATAATAACGGGAGGGTGACGAAAGAATATCTCGAAGGGTTGGAGACGTTTATGCATCAAGCAGATTCTACACCACTCACGCAGGAAAGTGGTAAGATGTTTTGTCCTTGTCGGAAATGCTGCAATACAAAATTAGGCCATCCTGAAAATGTTTGGAAGCATTTAATAAATAGAGGTTTCATGCCATATTATTATATTTGGTATCAACATGGAGAATACGATGCTAGTTGTAGGAATGAAGGTAGCAGTAGTAATAGCAATTTCCAGGTTGAACCGGTTGATCATTTGCGTAATGAAAATAGCTATCATCACCAAGAGGAACAAATGGTAGATTGTGATAGGATTCATGATATGGTAGGTGATGCATTTGTAACTCATGATGATGATGAAGTTGAAGAACCTAAATTAGATGCAAAAAAAGTTTTATGAAAGGTTAGATGCTGCGAATGAGCCAATTTATAGTGGTTGTAGAGAAGGTTTGTCTAAGTTGTCGTTGGCTGCTAGAATGATGAGTATTAAAACCGATCACAATCTACCTGAAAATTATATGGATGCATGGGCAGACTTGTTTAAAGAGTATTTGCCAGAAGACAATGTGTCTGTTGAATCTTATTATCAGATTCAGAAATTGGTATATAGTCTTGGGTTGCCCTCGGAGATGATAGACATTTGCATCGACAACTGCATGATTTACTGAGGAGATGATGAGAAGTTAGAAGAATTTCGATTTTGTAAGAAGCCACGATTCAAACCGCAAGGTCGAGGGCGTAATTTGGGTACCGTACCAAAGGATGTGGTACCTACCAATCACAAACAGGTTGAAAAGATTGTACCAATCTGAGGTGACTGCTGGAGGGATGAGATGGCACGCCGAGCATACTCAGACGGATGGAGAGATGACTCATCCATCAGATGCAAGAGCCGGGAAACATTTTAACAATGTACATCCACATTACGTTAGCAATAGCCGGAATGTGTATCTTGGATTATGCACTGATGGATTTAGTCCATTTGGAATGTCTGGGAGACAATATTCATTGTGGCCAGTCTTTCTTACACCGTATAACCTGCCACCGGAGATGTGCATGCGACGAGAGTTTCTATTCATGACCATATTAATACCTGGTCCTAAACATCCAAAAAGATCTCTCGACGTTTTTCTACAACCACTGATAAAAGAGTTGAAAGATTTGTGGTCAACAAGGGTGAGGACATATGATTGTTCAACGAAAACAAATTTTACGATGCGAACGATGCTTTTGTGGACCATAAGTGACTTTCCTGCATATGGGATGTTGTCTGGGTGGACAACACATGAGAGATTAGCTTGTCCATATTGTAATGGAATGACAGATGTGTTTCAGTTGAAGCATGGTAGGAAGACTAGTTGGTTCGATTGTCACCGTCGATTTCTTCCCGTTTACCACCCATACCGAAGAAACAAGAAATTGTTCAGGCACAAAAGGGTTGTCAGAGACACTCCTCCTCCATATTTAACTGGAGAACAAATCGAAGCGCAAATCAATTACTACTGTTCTATAGAAACAGCTCCTCGTGGTGGGAATTGGCATGTTCCCAATAATATACCTGATTCTTATGGTGTTCAGCACAATTGGCACAAAAATATTATATTTTGGGAATTGCCATATTGGAAAGATCTTCTTTTGCGCCACAACCTCGATGTGATGCATATAGAGAATAACTTTTTTGAGAACATTGTGAACACTATGTTGAATGTCACAGGGAAGACGAAAGACAACGTAAAATCAAGGTTGGACTTACCCGATATATGCTCAAGGAGTGAGCTACATATAAAAAACATTGGGCAAGTTCCAGTTCCAATATTCAGACTGTCATCAGAAAAAAATTCTGCATTGTTCAACTGGGTGGCTTCAGAAGTGAAGTTCCCTGATGGGTATGTTTCAAATCTCTCAAGATGTGTTGAGAAAGGGCAAAAGTTCTCTGGGATGAAGAGCCATGATTGTCATGTATTTATGCAGCGACTACTTCCCTTTGCGTTTGCGGAGCTACTACCGGCAAAAGTACATGAAACCCTTTCAGGTAATTAATTAATATAATACGATGATATGATTAATTTATTTCCATATATATATATATATACTAATGTGGATAATTTTTTTTTTTTTGTAATATATAAGGAATTGGAGCATTTTTTAGGGATTTGAGCACTCACACTCTTAAAGTGAAAGTTATTTATATTTTTATTTTTTGAAAGACCTTTACGAGATGACCCACCGGAACAAGGCTGGGCAGTTTGTAGATCCTGCTTCCGAGCGGATCTACAACGAGGTTGTTTCCCGAGTTGACGAACGCCAGACCCAGCTGACTCAGCAGACTGGGACTCTAGTCATATTATCCACTCTTGAAGTGGATAAGATTTACGAGGAGGTAAATAATTTGTTTTACTATTAATTTTTATTATTTATTTAAATTTTTTCTTAATGTTATTAATATTTTTATTTACAGGTCGCCCCTAGGAAAAAGGGGCGTATCGTCGGGATTGACTCGGTTAACGATGTCCCTGCAGCGACATCGTCTTATGCTCAGGAGCAGCACGATGTCAATGCTCAGCTGCGCTCGGAGTTGCAGGCGACGCAGTCTCATGTAAGTTCGCTCACTGAGCATGTGACTTCTCTCACCGATGTCCTCGACTTTTTGGCGGTTGGAAACCCGCAATTAGAGGAGATGTTGCGTCAGAGACGAGATCGCGGAGGGCTTCCAACCCAACATCATCCACCATCACAGTCACAGCCGGCAACCAACTTTGGAGAGGAGCCGGATTTGGCGAACCAGGACGAGTTTGTTCGGCAATTCCTTGACCAGCATCTGTAGTTTTTATTTTATTTTTAATTGTATATTATGAATTTTAAAACTTAATTGTATATTATTTAGTTATTTATAAAATATTTTCTTTTTTATTTTTTATTTATAATTTGATTTTTTTTATTTTTTAAAAATAAATTATTTATTTTTTTTTAATAGGGAAAAAATATTTCGAAGCAAAATCCTCGTAAAGGTTTCCAAGTAATGTCCTCGTAAATAATTCTAGTAAGTTCCTTGTAATGAATTACTACGAACTTACGAGGAAACCCTAGGAGGACCTTACGAGGAAAAGCTAACCACGCCTTTACGAGGAAAAGTTTCCTCGTAAATTAGCTAGGACCTTACGAGGAAAAATGCTTTACGATGAACCTCGTAATTTCCTATTAATGGACGAGTTTTCTTGTTGTGGTGAGTTAATGATATATATTATACAGCTTATGGAAATTATACATTCAAATATGTTTTGTAACAGACTAAAGAAAAAAATCTGTCAAGTATTATATGTAAGTAAATAAAAGAAGTGGGTCCTAGAAAATTCGAATTAAAGGTGAGGTATAATATGTCTATATTATTACGTTAATGGCAGTTAACACACGTTTAATTCTATAAATGTCAGTTTTTTTAATAGGTCCAATGGCAAAATAAGTAATATTCCCAGTAGTTTTAGGAGTAAAAGTTAACAATATTCTTGTTTTAATAATATTGATTTAGGTCCATTTTACATTTGTGTTCTGTGTTTATGATAAAAAAAGTAGTGTTATCCTAAAGAATTTCTCAAAGTGAAACAACTATAAATATTTTAGAGAATATGACTAAGAAAGGCTTAAAAATAGTTTTTGTCACAAATATATTCTCTAAGGAGAAAAATGACCTAAATATACTTTATTAAAGAATGTTAATATACATTTATACTCATTGGATCAACTAATCTAGACTTAGAGTTTATAGTTATGGGGTTTAGGAGTTTAGGTCTTAGCGTTTAATTTTTTTTTTTAAAGTTAAAAATTTCAAACAAAAGGTCTATTTTTATCACTTTTTGTTCTTGAGAGCTATATTTGTGACATAAATTTAAAAAGGCTATTTGAGAGATTTGCCAAATATTTTGTTTTGTATATATTAACAAATATAAAATGGCTTTAATATTTACAGTTTGTACTTTTTAGCCAATACTATAAAGAGTAATTAAGATGTCACTATAGAAATTAATGTCAATAATGTAACTGTATAACTTAATTATATAGGGTAACGTGTTATAGTCCTCAAATAAAAGGTTGAAATTCTAAAAACAGTTTGAAATTATTGAATAGCATAAAGAAATCATATAGGCTGAATATTGACAAAAGAAGCAAACATAACTCAAAGAAATGGGTCCGAAAATTTTGGATATGAGGTTTTTTTTTTTTTTAAATACTTGATAGGAGATTACGTATCTACTTTATTAAAACACAATCACTGCTATAATTTAACCTTCTATTACCATGGCATATTACATAGATTGCCACTCCTTTTTCAAACAAAATTTCACCCCTCATTAAGGGCAGAACAATAATTTTTTAATTGGACTTACAAATAAATCAAAGGCAATTTCTATTCACGTAACCTCCATTTAAAACTTCTTTTCACTTCCNATCTACTTTATTAAAACACAATCACTGCTATAATTTAACCTTCTATTACCATGGCATATTACATAGATTGCCACTCCTTTTTCAAACAAAATTTCACCCCTCATTAAGGGCAGAACAATAATTTTT